AGAGCAAATAATCCATTTGTTTTAGTGTAAACCTTCTAGTCATTCAAAACTTTATCTAATTTTCTTCAGAGACACTTCGAAAACGCAAAGAAGTGGCCATTAGTTTTTAGGACAGATCTACTAGCATTCTATCATGAATGCTGTTCTCTGATTGGCTACGCTACTCACTATCTATTCTTTTGTAGATAGTGATCAAGTAGCCCTGCAGTGTGCACTTGTTTAATATCTGGTGGCTGCTTCTTTGTCTTTTCAAAGTGTCTGTGAAGAATGTGAATGACTAGTAGATTTGCCCTAAAACACTTACAAATAATATGTTATTTGCTCATAGAAATCTCGAGTTCAATCTGATTGTTGAATAGAATGCAGTGGAATAGTTTCTTGGTAATTGGTTGGTGTGTTGGTGTGTGCTCCACCTGGATAAGTCCTGTTTCCATGCAGGATTATCAATGTTTACTGGCAAACTGTTATCATGGCAATGAAACAAAATAGTTATATTGAAATTTTTTGATTATGTTTTACCTGCAGGTCGAGGTTGACTGGGAGAAAATAAACGCCAAGATTGATATGGAGTTACAGAAAGAGGCAGCAAGACCTGGGGCAAAACCCTACAATGGCTGACATGGTTTTATTTATATTTGTTTATAGAGTGATCAGCATTTTGATGATGCACTGCAAACAAGCTTGTAAATATTTCAATCATCATTTAAGGTAGCACTTTTAGTGCAGAACATGAAGTTTACTATGGTCACAGTATGGCACTTACAGTTAACACAAAGGAGTCTTTGCATTAAACAAAATAGTTCACAAATTGAAAGAGTCCTTTCAAAAGATGCACATGTAACATATTGTTCAGTAGTTGTCTCGCAGAGCACAGAGAAATAACACAGATCTAACAATGAATTGATAGATTGCCTTCCATGATGAAGTATTAGTACTTAGTACCATAGTTTAGAGTGGTTTTCAATTGAGTGTCAAAAGTTATTAGACAATTACTTTGGTTTTGGTTTTGGTTTTACTACGGTTTGAGATCGGCTGGTTAGTCTAATTGGTAAGTAATTAGTTTGGTTTTGGTTTTATGACACTCAATTGAAAATAATAGGTCTTGCCTTTCTCTAGCAAAGGATTCATAGTTAAGGGTTCAATTCCAACCCAAACCCTGTCTTTATTTATTTGGTAAAGTTTTGCTGTGATATTTGAAGCAATCGCTGTTCTCTCGGGGATTGTGGAGTGATCAGCAAAATGGAAGCTCAAGAGAAGAACAATATCTGTGTTGGCTTGTTTCTCAGGTAGCATCCACTCTACACCAGAGACATTTGAAAACGTAGCTTTATGTCTATGGTGGCCTCCCGTCCACACCAACCAGTCACAAAAATGGAGCGTTATTAAAACGCTTTTCAATCCAGGGGAATTTAAATTGCCGGCTGCTTTTCGTTTGTGTGTGGACAGAAATTGATGCCGTCACTATAATGTGATTTCCCTGACTGAGCAGTGTGGACAGAAAATATTTGACGCGTTTTCAGAATGAAACCTCTGTTTTCAAATGCGTCAACGTGGTGTGGATGGGGCCTCACTCCTTGATCCATGAAGGAAATTAAAGGGGACTGTCCTGATCAGTCTAATGGTATAAAGTCTGATGCAATTACAAGGTGAAAAATATTCATCTTATCTTGAGTTTTCAAAGCATTGCTCTACTTTCACGTGTAAATTACCTGATAGTTGGTAAAACAAAGAAATAAATAACATGGAGAAATGTAACAGTTTCTTTAATGTTTCTTGTTTTTTTATTGATAATTGGTAATAATAATAATATTAATACTGTTGCAGAATTATCTAGCAAACAAAATCCCTATTTATTTAACACTGTTTTCATTTCTTCAAAAACTGCTCAACATTTGAATTTATTTACTGATGGCAACTTATAAAGCGATTTTCAAATGCAGACCAGATCTTTCTGACTTGAAAATAATTCCTGTCTCTGATTTGCATATACAGTTGTTGTAGCAAACTTCACCATGTTACACATTATCGCACCGCAGCAACCATTCTTGACTTGAGCATGTGACCTTTTCTCATAGTCCTTGTTTTATAGAATTCCAAACAAAGGGCTGGAAGCCATTCCTCTAACAATTACCTCTACTTGCATGACTCTTAATGATCTCAGACTATTTTGTTGCAAGTTTTCAATTTGTTAGTGAGGGTTTTCATGGCGAAGTATCTCCCAGCTCGTCAAGGGATAAATTCTGTGTCCATTCATACAATTTATCAGCTTGATCTTCCCAGTCGTCATCCTCAAATATATCCTCTACAGGCACTTCAACCTCTGGCGTTATTCTTTGCAGGCTCTCAGTCTGCAATACAAATGTAGATGTAAACAGCAATGAGAAATGGAAAGTGTCTTAGGAGAATGTAGCCTGTGTAGCAAGTGTTACCGAACAAATCAGATTTTTCCTCATCTAGCTATAGGCTGTACAAAGGTCTAAGCAAGGGTGAAAAAAAGGGATCAGGAGAGGTGAGGAGAGAAAAGAGAACAACATGGTTGCTACAGATCAGGAAATGGTCAGGGAAAAAATTCTTCAAGGTCAGGAAAAAGTCAGAGAATGTTTTTTTTCTTGAGTCAGAGAAATATTTTCAAGAAAAGTCAGGGAAAATTGAAATAATTTAATTTGGCTGATTTAATACCATTGAAGGCTGGAAGAAACATTTGGGGCCACTGTGATCTCAACGATATTTTTCCTTAATGAAGAAGAAAAACTTGTTGAAAATTATTGCTCTTAATGAACGAGTGGAAGAAGAAGCTGCTACTAGACATCACATTTTGCATTTCTTTGGTCAAAAATGTTATTTTTATCAGGGAAAAGTCCTGGTATTTTGAAAAGGAATGTCTTTAACAACCTTGAAAAACCAATAATTAAGTTATTTATAAATGCTCTTGTCTGAATTTTTGTGTGTGCATGACCAGTGTTTAGGGCAAAGCTACTGACATAGTAACTACAAGGGATTATGTACTAACCTGTTTTGGAGAATCCAATCCAAACATTTTTCTCATTTTTGCAACTCTTGCTTTAGCTTGACGCGACCTCCTGATGGGAGATGGGTTATTGTAGTCTATTTGTGGCTTTTTCCTGTGTGTGAAAAACATTCTGAATATTTTTTTCTTGGCAGTGGGGCACTGTAATTGAGCAGTTATGAATATTAACATATTTCAGATTTGTCATACCTGTACATAGGAATAGCTCTAATACTGGCCACTTGAATTTCCTGAGTAGCTGGTCTTAGTGACAACAGATCTGGACATTCTTCTACCAGTCTAGGGGTTGTGACACCACATGCCACAAAACTAAAGATATCGTGCACTATATTCTGCCTTGGAATAGCTACAATGAAAAAAAGTAATATTACACCCATCAGAGCTGAGTATAAAGATGATATCATATCCTTTTTGCACCCTCAAGTTTTCACTTGCTCAAAAATCTCCGAATTGGTTCAACCCCCATAAGATAGCTGTCATGTAAGAGGACACAAAAAGAAAACCTGGTATAATAATTAAAACTTAATAAAGGAACATTGAGCTAAACGTACCATCAAGAGTAAGTCTTCTCCATGTGTTGGATTTTCCTCCAGTTTCCGCTGGACATTCATCCACATGGCTTAAATACTGACAAAAGGAATATAACCAGGAAGAAGATGAGATACATGTAATGGGTTACTGAACACATAATTTATTGAATTGGCTGTTTGTTACTTACTACATGTAAGGGGGGAAAATGTTCCAGCCAGAAAATACTTTGCTTCCAGTTTGTGATCATGCTGTGCACACTGAAGCACAAGGCAGAAACTGATGTCTAAAGAGCTAAACCAACCTTGGATCAAGTCTGAACAGATCAATTTTAAGCTTATGGATGGTTTACCATAGTTGATGTCAACACTGGTATCCTGATGGATCAAGACAGTGGTCCAATCCATCTAAGTTTGAGGACTAATCTTGCTGGTTGGGGCCTTCTCTAATGAGGAAAGGCTCTATACTGACCTAATTTACTCTAGATTTCAAAGTGCTTCTCTGCCCACAAAGTTACATGTACCATCCACTGGGTTGAGGGGAGGGGGGGTGGGGAAGGGGTGCAACTAGCCACCAGGAGGGATAATTAAATTAATGATTTAGAGTCATTTCATGCTATACAGCTAGACATCAGAATCAAGTAGCAAGTAATCAAAGCATTTGAGCATTTCTTTTCCTCTAGTACAAAAATACAGTCAAACCTCCCTTAAGTGACCACCTACATGTAAATGTACAATGTCAATGTCAAGCGGTCTTAGTGGTCACTTATGAGAGCTTGGATCATATTGGGTCAAATTTTGCCTCAATAGCATATGTTAATTGCAGAGACTTACACCATGTTTTAAAAGTTTTATTCATGTGAAAAGTCAATTTTGAGAAAAAAAAGATCTGATACTTCCCAAGTTGAGACATTTCTGCCTCTTGTGCTATCCAGGAATATGATAATGTTACAACACCTTATAATCCAATTTCTGCTCTATTATCTGTCAAATGGTTGCTTATGAGAGGTTAAAAACAAAAGAAAATTTCAAACTTTGAGCTCTAAAAGTGGTCGCAGTCGCTT